CACATAATTTGCATGTGGGAACCCCAGATTCAATTCCCATAACTGCATGGTCCCCAACAGTTTGGGTGTGACCCCAAAACCAAAAAAAAATAGACACAGTGTTACAAACAAAACCATAAAATTCTTTGTTCAGGTTTTTTTCTGAAACAGCGAATTTTTGATTCCTCTAGGTAAATGCAATTGCTAATCACTTGACAAGAATTATTTTATATAAAATTTTCAAACTATGTTTTGAGGAAATGGGCACCATTTGGTTTTCCAACCATAACATCTGAGAGTTCTTGTTGTTCAGTATCCCAGGCATAAGCAAATTAAATAGATGAGAAGCAGTCTCTCATATTTTTGGTCTCTTTTACATGACTCCTTCATGTTTCTGACATGATAATTTTGCATGCTAATCATTCACTGTCTTTCCTCCTGAAACGCGAATAATTATAAATAAGCTATAGTAAATGTCAATGCTTAAAAAAAAAATCATTACCTGTTCTTAAGGTTGCTATTTTGGTAATAGTTTATTTGCCATTCTTTTTTCTGGGGAGGTGGAGGGGGGGATTGGGGTGTTGAAGCAAAAACAAAACAAAACAAAACAAAACAAAAAAACAGGAGTTTTTAAAGACTGGTTGTATTCCTGAGTCATCATAGATGACTTTTCTTCTAAAACAACCTGGACCTGGATATGTGAATAAGCACATTTGGCTTAATCTATTCCATCAGCAGCTTCACCAGTTGCAAAACCCAAGCATTAGTGCCTCTTCACTAGTCATCTGTACTTCAATTAATAGCAACATGATATATAAACTGACAACCCTATCTTTACAATACCTGTATCACAGGTATATATCAAAATCAATTGTTCTGCCAGGAAAAATGAGTAAGAAAAACTTGCCTCAAAAATGGTATCTGAGGGGAGGGGTTAAAAAAAAAAAAGGATCTGAGGGGTTGGAGGAATAGTGGAATAGTACAGTGGGTTGAGTATTTGCCTTGCTTGTAACCAACTTGGGTTCTATCCCCAGCATCCCATATAGTTCCGCAAGCACTGCCAGGAATAATTCCTGAGTGCAGAGTCAGGAGTTTCCTCTGAGCATTACTGGGTATGGTCCCAAAACAAAACAAAAAACTAAACAAAACAAAAAAAGGATCTGATACACAACTGTACAAACATGATATTAAAAAAAGCATGCATATGGGAATCACCAAATTAATCAGAATTTAGGGTCATACTTAACTTGTAGAAGAAAGCAATTAATATTGCTCATCATTCCATGATTTTCCCAATGGTGATATTCTCACCAATCCCTTTAACGGCAAGCAACCTCAGCATGTAAGTTATTTTATTCCACTTAAAATCAATATAAGCTCCTGCAAGCATTAGGTGTATTTACAGACGTACATATACATATATACCTTGATAGAAAAATGTTATGGCCCCATTATTGAAGGCTTAAAAACCAAAAGCACATTCAACTGTCTTTCTGAAATTATTCTGTATTTTTCTATTGATATGTAAATAACTTTTACTAAATATGAGCTTTGTATGACAGAAGTTCATACTCTATTTGACTTCCATTCTGATGAATATTATTTTCTTTCTTTTCATTTCAATGCAGACTTATTTTCATGCCAAATAAAAGATCATATTTATATTTTCTTTGAAATCAACCATATGCCACTTATATTTTCTTATCAGGCAACTGTCTGAAAATGGAAGGATCAAACACTAGATCCCAGACCCCTTGGGATTCCAACCCTCTATTCTACCAAAAGTACAGAACACAGTCAAGACTGCATAATACATAACATTACATATGCTTTGGGAGGTGAAGGTAGACCACAGCTGGCAGTCCTCAGAGTTTACTTCTAGCTCTGTGCTCCAGGATCACTCCTAGAGATGCTTGAGAGACCATATGTGGGGCTAGGTATCTAATCCAGGTGTAAGATAAGTGCCCTACACTGCACCCAGGCCGCTATTCTTCTTAAGTATCAGGAATAATCAAAAGCACAGAAATAATAGATAATTTTTTTAAGTCACTGGGATTGGTGGCTTTTGCTAGACATAAAATGAATTGTAGTAAAGGTCCTTGGTCCTGAGCTTCTCTGGTCACTGACACTTATCTGCAATCACAACCTGAGCTTGACTCTGCAAAGGGGAAGGATGGACTGAAAAGGAGACACTGTTTTGTGCAGACCCCTGAGGGTGCAGGTCTCTGTCAAACTCCTGTAAGTTCTAGCTCAATTTAGAATGTAGGTAACTAACTTAGAGAAAAAACAAACAAACAAACCATGAACCATAAAGAACTTCTCAATGTTAGGATGTAAGTTAAGTCCCTTTCTCAGCCTCAAGTTTAGTCTTGTTCTCTGCTGAATATTATCACTATTATCAAGTGTGCGTCTATCAAAATGCCCAGAAAACGGAAACATTTTTTTTTCAAACAATGCTCTGAACTGAATAATCTCAAGCACAAAAAATTAAGGTTAGATTCACCCTTTTACACACATCAATGAAACAATACTTTAATAGCTTCAACCACAGATCTTATATCAAAAATAAACTAAGCAATGGAATTAATTTACTATTCTTTCTAGTGCCAATAGTTTTTTTCTCTTCAAATGTATTATCACTTTTGTGGGTCTTTAAAAGATAATAAAAGACTAGTACTTTAGTTAAAGGCTATGAAAGCTCTGAGACAAAGACTTTCCTACATATCCTACCCCTCTCTCCCCTCCAGTTTGTAGGAAACAGAAAAGGCTTTCTTCAAAGAAGCGAGCAGCTTTGGTTACAAGTGCAAAAGTCAGCCATGTGTACTAATTCTAAGTAATAATGACTAAAGTGAGCTCCCAAGTGACTTAAAAGTCACTGCCAGGCAATGCTTGGGTGAATGAAAACTGGAAATACTCATGTGACACAACCTTTCCAAACCTTTTGTATTCCCAGCTGGACAGGCAAGGCTGTGAAACTCACAATGACTTTCCAAGGTGTGCAGCGAGCTCCAGAGATGGGGAATATTTGCCAAGGTCTACAAAGAGAGATGCTGCTACTACTTAAAATGCACATTGAAAATGGAATCATTCAACCATCTACTCACAGACTAGAAGGACCTGGATTGTTTGCAACCTACCATATTGCTTACATAAACAAATGAACACACATACACACACACACACACACACACACACACACACACACACACACACTTTCCTAAGTGGGGGTGCTGGGGAGGGTGGAGCAAAGGGGGCAAATCAGGAGACTTGAAACACCAAGACCACTGTCTACACCCCTTTGAGATGAAGAACGGCAAACCTCATTTCACAGATATTTTAAGTAGCTATAAAGCCCAAGTGGCTCCAATTTTAAGCCTGTGTTTAGCTCAGGTTTGAAAAAAGGCTATACCTCCTTACAATCACCAGGCACCACTTCTGATGCCAATCTGTGCTTTGTGTTTGAAATGGGCGACCACATAGGAGAAAACAAGACCACCTACGGCAGACAATGCATGCCACAACCCATCTCCCTGGCATCCATACCTGTGCACAGGCAAAAAATGCTTTCATAAAAAGAAAATAAATCTCAAGATTATTGCCAAAATCTTGAGTGGTATCACATAATTAATTTTACATTTTAAATACTTACAGAGATATATAATCATGTCTTTTCAGCAAGTTTAAAACCTCACTTGAAAAAAAAATTACACAAACCCACCTGACCTACTGAAATAATGCCCTGCTAGCTCAGTCCCCTGGCAACAACCTAGATGAACTATTAAATGTGCTTTTTTAAAATGAGAAAACACAGCTACTCAAATGGAAGCAAGTGTGGTTTTAAAATGATGAATACTTATCTGGAAGAGAAATTACTGCAGCTCTAGTATTCTTTTTTAGTTATCATTATTTTGTGTGCTTTTTTATTTTGGTCATTAAAGTCTCCCCTTTTCCCCACCATGAATACTCCTAAACTTACAGAACAAGGGGCTCCTACTGATCTGTCTCTGATATGCGGCCACCTCTGACAGGTTAATGATAAACAGAAAGAGAGTCAGGGAGTAGCCAAATTCTATCCCTCTCTTAAGAATTAGCAGGAATGGGTTTCTTCCAACCTCTGGCTACATTCAAGGAATCACTACTCAGAAAGAACAATAAGCCGTTTCCAAACAAATGCTGAATATTCTCAGGGGTTTGTCCAACTTCTACACCGCTACTTTCAAGAAAAGGTGATTTTGCGAACACCATTTCCTGTACAAAACAAGCTAATTACTTTTTAAAGTGAGCTCCTCTTTCTTACAAAAAACACTGGTTTAGGTGGGAAACAAACCAATATTGTATTGCCCTAGTGATCAAAGTCTATTTAACCATGTTTAACTTTAAATAGTACCAGTCTTGGTAGAAAAGTTTGATTTACTTAAACTTTATTTATATTCACATGAACAAACTGTACATGAGAGAAAACAAGGCACAAAGCTATGCTGAACTGAAGAATAAGATGCAGATCATCTGTCCACAGAAAGACATATCATTCCAAGCGCTTTTGCAATGGAGAGCACATTCAGCCAATATTTCTCTGCATCCTTCTCCCAGAAGCCCTGGGAAGCTTGCTCGCATTTACAAGGTAAAGCAAAGCAGGGGGCTATGGCTTGATGACTTCAAATAACAAATTTTAGTGTCTGACCCAGCAGAAGGTGCCATGAGGAAAGAATGTATAAAAATTAACTTTAAAAAAGGTTAGCAAAGATTTTTTTCAAATGCCAAGCACTTCTGCCACAGATGACTTCTATTGCAGAAACAACCACAAGCAATGACGAATTTAACAGGCAATAAGATCAGAAACATTTACCCTTCCACCTCAGGAATGGTTCGCCTGTCTAGGAAAAGCCGAGGTGCCCTAGCAGACTCTGCCCTTGCACAGGATCTGTGGTTAAACAGAAGTCTTAGTCCACATTTGTTTGCCAGAGTTGTGATATGTATAAGAAATAAGTCCTTTCAACACAGAGATCCACAAAGGTACTTACACAGCCTCCAGCAAGAATTTCTGCTGCAAGTGGAATCGAACCATCTTTGTGCATAAATTTATCCCTCACAAAATCATTCACCTTGAAGAAAAATATTTATAGAAGCTGATGAAAAATATAAAGAAAGTCATTAAACACAGATAAATATCTATGTACATAATGTTTCTGTCTACCAGTGTAATCATTAACTGTATAAATTAATAGATCAAAAAAAAGATGTTTCAGAAGTGTTCTTAACAGCCTGTATGTAGTCTTAAATGGTTACACACTCATACACATATTCCTAAGGTTTCAGAGAAAAAAATACTAAACTACAGATGGATTATAAGCTAAAAATATATTAAGGTTCTGCAATTAGAATGGTATAAGGAACACACTGACAAAAGAGACAAAATAAAGCATACGTTTCATTAACTTAAAAAGTATTTTATCTGGTCTGATTAAAAGTTGCTTCAAGTTTTCTAACAAGATTTAATCTAAAGCGGCATCCAACACTGAGACAAATTTGGCTAAGATCTTTCAGCTTAATATAAATTCAGAACTAAAATTTTTTTCAAGGATTCTCAAAGAATATCAATAGCATTAATTAACCGTGTAAATGTTCACAAAATAATGTATACTGTAAGCCATTTTAAGGATCAATCACGTTCCTTAAGATACACACCAAATAAGATTCATTTTTCCAAGATCACATAACAAGATTGTAAAAGAAGACTTTCAGGGATGACAGCTATACAGCCTGAGCTAAGACTAGAGTTTAATTTACTGGGGCTTCATGACCTTGGTGATATTACCGTAAATTGTATCCATTCCAGAAACAACTTTTGAGTACCTGCTGCCATATGGGAGCGTGACCTTGGAAAAACATTCTGATGGAGTTAGAACTTGAACTTGGACTCACATCCAACCAGGTGGCTTTGGTAAATGCTAGGAGAATATGCCCTGAGCAAGAATTCTATAAATGACACATGCAAATGAAGTAGTACATGCTCTGGAGTCATAAAAATCTGATTCTGAATTCCACTTTCTTCATTCATGAGCTGGGTCAACATGAATAACTTCTTATACCTCATGGGCCTCAGTTTCCTTATTAATGTGGGTGGAACTTTGAAATTAAGATAATTGATAATACAAAGTAATTAACTAATGTGGTAGGCACTGAAGAAAATTTAACTACTGCTACTGCTACTAATACAAGGATGAGAAGGTGATGGTGGCCACAACTAAAAATTGTGTTCAAATATATTATTATCACATTTGGGGGATGCTCAGCATTTAATGGGGGAAATAATGAAAAATTGTGTGGTTGAGTGTCCTAAGTTCAAATAAGTTAGACCTTCCAAAGAAATATAAACCTGCTGTTTTACCTAAGAATACCTGCTAGATTCCTAAGTGTGTACAAACACCCTTAATAAAAGCATCAGCTTAAAACACTTACTGTAAGTTTTATGGCCTTCTCTGGAGCAACTCCCAATAACTGTGGCAGCAAACCTAAAAAACAATGAAATGCATAAGTTTATTAAACAAATCAACATTAACAAAACAAATCCGCAGCTTCAAAACAGGGAGCAACATTTAAAAACAGAGGCAATCATTACTCAATTTTCTGCTATTGTCTCTAGTGGGAATACTTGAAATGGAATGTTTAAGTACTTACTAAGGTCAAAGAGCCACATCAGGCCCTAATGAAGTCCCTCTCACATTCTAGATCCTTTGCACACTGAGCAAACCAACAGCATTAGGGAAATAGGAACTCTCAGTATTTTTCAACAAGTTTGTTCTTTTCCCTCCTGCCTCCTAAATATGTGGAAACACACACACACACACACACACACACACACACACACACACACACACACGTGCACATGCACACGCGTGTATGCACATGCATGTGTATGTGTGAGTGTTTGTATTTCTGATACTATTCTTGCTCCTCTACCCCCAATAACCACAGTTCATCCATTTACGCATTTAGTACCTATGATTCCATAAACACCTTAGAAACAAGGTTTTCACTCTGATTGCTCTTAATGGAAAGAGCAAAAAGCATTTCTGAAGAAGGGACAATACAGAACGAGGAGGATGGGCAATATATTCCAGAATGGAAGCAAATAGAAAAAGGCAAAGAAAGAAGAGTAGAGAAGGAATGAGTCTACTAGGCTAAACTATGAGCAAGAGCATGAGTTTGCCATCTCACAGGAGGCAGCCTCTGAGAGGTACAGATGGGAAGCCAGATGCTACAACCACATCACAGGCCAGGTTCCTGAGCTGGATTTATTCAAAGTTAGATGAGAATTAGAGGGTTTCAATCAGGAAGAGGAGAGGATGTACTAATTAATATTTTAAAAAAGACCAACTCAGCTACTGTTTAGAAAATAAACAGCACATCGTTCTGGCACTCACACATGGTGCATGTGTGCACGCGCATCTGTATCTATTTGTGCGAGAAGAGACTGTGAGAGAATAAAAACTGGGCTTGACTGTGTTTGCTGACACGTTAATACAAACACCTACATAGAGATGTGGAAAGTGATAGTTTAGAGCTGAAAGCGAAGACCTGTTTTCGACACAGTAGGCTGAAAGCACATGAGGAAGATGTGGCTTTTGACAGGAAAAAGTCACTTTTAAGGAAGGTTGTTAGAATAGTACTAGACTTACATATCTGAACTAAAATATCCTAATGTTCATTTGTTCTTTTAAAGAAATGAATTCAAAAGCAAATGCTTCTTGTCCTTTGGATCAGGAGATATCTTTTTCCCTATGTCACACTGCTGTCTTTGAGAAGGGCTTCCTGGGGTTATCTTTCACCAATTTTCAGATTCATAAGCACTTCTGTTAGCAACTTTTTCTGGTTAAGACAGGGCTGCTCAAACCCAGTCCGCCTGAAGAAGACACCACCTTAACTGATGACGTTGTATGTACCAGCCTTTAGATGTGCTTTACTAAGAAGCACACTGCTTCAAGTACAAAGATAATTAAGATAAATACAGTAGAAGAACTGATGCATCTCAGATTAGCTCTGGCCCTCCTTCTGACCTTAGGGCTATTTGCTTGGGTTGCCTATGGACCAATGTATATACTGGCTTGTCCCATCAATTCACCAAAAATCCACCATGCCCTAATGCCAACAAGGCAATGATAATTGTTATTTAACATTTTCATGTTATGCTGATACTTTCACCAACAGAGAACCAAGAATCTTTCTGCATTCACAGCACTGTAAAAAAGGGAAACTAGGTAGACAAAAAGAGTTATTATTTTTGTTTTTCAAAAAAATGCGAGAAAGTCCATTTCACTGTGGAACTACATGATGATGAGAATGCTATTACAAATGGAAATCTTTCTTTAAGAGAAAATAGCATAGTGTTTATTATGTGTTAGGCACCATTTTAAGTGTTTTACAACTCACTTAATTTGTTCAAAATTAATTAGCTGATAAATGGTGATACTGGAATTCAAGCCTAAGCCCTGTTACTCCAGTCATGCTTTTAAGAGCCAGGCAGATAGCTCAAGGGTATGGATAGCAAGCTCTCTGTGTGGGCTACCTCATGGTCAGTCCAAGTACTGTTAGGAGCAGCCCCTAGCACTACTTTGTATTGTTCCAAAGCAAACCAGAAAATACTACTCATCCCTCAACTCTACCGTGCAGTTCATATACAAATATTTCATGTCTACTCATGTCCAGCTTCATCAGTTAACATCCATAATCTACCTGGATCCTGTAAGCATTTGAGTTTAGGAGGCCTTTGCTAGGTAGCCTTATTTTCTGAGCCTACTTCCTTTCAGAGCAACAAATAACTGGACAAGATAATTTTAAAAAATAAATAAATAAAATAAAAAAGGAAATTAAAAATGTAATGGCTATTAAAAAAAAGATAACCACAGCGAAAAGATATGCAGTTGAAGAGTTCATACAACCTGGGTCTCATGGCCTGGTAACAGAAATAAGCAAACCAGATAGGATTCCACACCTCCCCCACTGCACCCCCAACTCCCCAAGTACCAGAATATTCCCAGCCAATGCAGCCAGTTGGCAAAGAGATGTTGCAGTGCACGGAATCAGGGTAGATGGTCAGGTGAAATCATGTACATGCTAATGCCACGAGTAACCAGAAGCCACAGATAATTAAGTGGAGAGGAGGAAATATGGAGAAAAAAATAACAGAAACGCCAATAGTCTAGGTGAACACAAAAGTTCAAGAAAAGTGTAGAAGTGGAAGAGTTACCCTTGACCATCTTCCAGTCCCACATTGGTCAAGATCCATATAAACCTGGAAGCTCTGATGTCCATCTTGTTTCTCATATGAACCCTTTTCAAAAGCAAGTATCGAACCCTTGTTAGCTTATTCAGGCTGTGCTCTTTGAAATCTAAATAAGCCAAAGCAACACAAGAGATAAAATTGAAATAGAACACCTTTACAAATCTTATTATATAGCTGAACCTTGAATAATCTAAATTCAATGGGGTCCACTTTATACAGAATTTCTTTCTGTCATTTCTACATAAATTTATTCAACCAAATAAGGACCATCTATATGGAGGCTTGACTAAGTCATATGCAGATTTTTGCCTGCAGAAGGGTCTAAGCTACAAATTTCTGTACTGTGCAAGGGACTACTCTATTCTTAATCAGAGGATGACAACTCACCTCCTAACTGAAATCACGTATTAGTCTTTTACCTAGGCCTATGAAATCATAATACCTATAATATCAAGAGGTAGGACTTATTATTTCTTTATAGAAGTACAACATTAAGTTCTACTTGTAAACTGCAGAGATAAGCTGTTTAAACTACACCTTAATATTTTCAATTTCCATTATACTCTCTACATTCAGGTCAAGTACCAAAATGCTTAGTTAAATATTAACATGCCAGATGTATTTTTCTCATCATTAAATTGTAGACCAAAACCATGGATGGGTTGAAAGCACTGTGATTTAAATGATGGTCTCTTGTCTCTATAACTACCCCGTGACAGTCTTTTTAAATGACTAATAAAAAACAGCCCACAGAGCCAAATGACTACAGTGGTAGATATAATCACTTCAGTCAGCCGTTTAAGCTATTCAGATTTGTCTTTCACACTATAAATTTAAGTTGAATTTGATGCACTGTGAACATGAAAAAATAAAAGAGAAAGTCTTATATTTAAGAGGAGATAGAAGAAAATAAATATTTGTTTCAAAATATTTACTATAATACCACTGTGTGCATCCTAGAAGGAAATAGGACGAACAAGTCAATCCATGAAGAAATTTGGAGAGAAAGGAAACTGCAAGTGTCATTGTGCATCCAAAAGGGGACAGAGCACCTACAAAGAGAGAGGCAAGTACCAGAATCCTGCAGCAGCAAAGAACTATGGAAATACAGTGGAGGGAAGCCACTAAGTAGCCCAGAGAGAGATAAAAGCATCAAAGAGAAGACACTTGGGGGTCCAAGTGATATTATAGTGGGTAGGGCACTTGCTTTTCATGCAGCTGACCTGGGTTCAGTCCCCAGCACCCCACGTAGTCCCCTGAGCACCACCAGGAGCAATTCCTGAGTGCAGAGCCAGGTGTAACTCCTGATCATCACTGGGTGTGGCCTCAAAACAAAACAAATGAAGAGGAGGAGGAGGAAACACTTGACCTGGGTATTTTACGAAAAGCAGAGGTTCACAGGGAGAAGAAATATAAATATAGTTGAGGACAAGGGTACAGAAAATGTGTATCCAAAGGCACCAAATTCTCAATACTATGACTTGTATAGGAACAAGTCAATTATCACTAGAGGTTGTGGATAGATCACAGACCCTCTAATAGCTTAATACATGTTATTTATTTACCATTTATTTGGAGGCCGTACCCAATTGTGTTTTGGACTTTCTTCTGGCTCTGTTCTGAAGGGACCATACATGGTTCTAGGCACATGCAAGGCAAGAGCCTTATCCCCTGTACTAGCACTCTATCCCCATTACATGTTATTTCTGTCCACTTTCACAAGTGAAGAAACTTGAGGCAGACTTCAAGGAGTCTGCCCAGTGTCCCTTAGCTGTTGGATGGTGGGTTGGGTCCCCAAACAGGCAGCCTGGCTCTAGAGAATGCTTCTCTCCCAGGTCACATTAAGAAGCTTAGGGTAAAATGCGTAGGTATACAAGGTGACTTTTAAAGTTAAGCCCCCAAAGGAAAAAATGTTCTAGAGGCCAGTGAAGGTCAGATAGCAAAGACAGAGATCCAAGGCAAGAAGAGCTTTAGGAGATTAAAGTAATAAAATTAGAGGCCACAAGTTTCACTATATTAAATGAATAACTTCAACTCAGTAAGAATATCAAGTACAAACTTGTTGCTAAGACCTGGCCAGATGCTGACACTCAAGGAGGGGGCTGGATAAGTACCATTCTCATCACTACCATGGTTAAACGGGGAATGAAGGGTGGCTGTGGATTACAGACTGCACAGCACCACAGATGTGGGCCTTGACACCATTAGTCTCCTGGGTAAATGCCCTTT